CTCAGTAGCTCCGAGGTACTCGCGGCGGTCACGCCTAAACCGGCAACCATGCAGCGCACAAGTAAAGCCATGGCCCAAATGGGAAGGGACACCCGACTCTAACTAAAACATTACTTCACTGCACGCCGGCGCCTCCGGTAGCGGAGAGCGCGCGCCACCGCACCTTGATGTGCAGGTCGTACGTGACGTCCTTGGGCGGGAACAGCGGCACGCGGATCGTGTTGGAGCAGAGGCCGGCCGGCGGGTGCACCACGTGACTCTCGCCCTGGGGACCATACGGTCACCGTGCTGCGCTGTCTGAGCTCAGACAGGCGGGACGTGGCCCACTGGCAGGCGGTCACCAGAAGCCAGACACCACCGGACCGGCACTAACAGCGGCCGCTGCGAGAGACACGCCCTGAAGACATGGCCCGGCTACCAGTGAAGGAGGGTAGTGCGCATTGTCTCCAATATCACACATGAACACGCTCGCCTGGACACAAGGCCCGGCTACCAGTGACGGTGGGTAGTGCACATTGTCTTAATATTACGCGTGAACCCGCTCTCACCTGGAAAATACCCTCGGCGAAAATAAGCGCCGCCCGCATGACGGTGTCGTTGGAGGTGGCTAGGGTGATCTCCACGTGCGGCGGCACGTTTTCCGAGCCCATGTTGACTGACAGGCCCGTCTGTAGCTGCGTGTTGGCCTACCGTGACGTCACAGTGACGCGTCAGTGTCGTATTGACACCGCAGCCACCAGCAACAGCTTCAAAGACGTTTAACGATCACAAGTGACGGCCATGTAAACCGTTTTCAGCTGCACGCCAGGCTGAACCCTTACATTTCTCCTGCGGCGCACTCGTTTTGGATGCTTTCTGACACATTCTTCCTCACGGCAGAAATATGCAGGCATCGTGATCACCATTGGCTCACAGAAACATCGCACAAATCATGGCTACGACCAACGTTGCCTAACGCAAAGCACCAATTTCAGCCAACACTTGGGGACGGGCTGATTCCGCCAGCAGAGATCATTCGCAAACCGGGCTGACACCCAGCGTTTCCACGGTTACCGGGATGATGCCGACGTTTTCCACCGTCTGCCGCGTGCCGCTGACTCGCACTGCCTGGTCCACCCGCGAGTTCTCCTGCCAGACAAAAGCATAGCCGTCGGCCCACAGGCTAATGACACAACACACTGAGGAGATGTTACTCCTAGGTGATCTTGTGGGACGGCAGGGGTGATGACGCGAGCGGCCGACGATGCTGACTGTTGACCGCCGGCTGACCGGCGTCCGTAACAATAAACCCCACTCGTGCCCTCTCCCTCACAAAGCGCAGACCGAGCTCAGGCGAGTCCGAGGAGTCTGCTGTTTCGTCGCCGTTAGTTCGTCCCCGCAGGCTAGACCCGAGCCAGGCTCACTGTGGGCCCCACCCGTCCGAAGCAGTCGCTGTATCGCTACACCGCTCCGGCACCACCTTCAGCCGGGCAGCTCCGGCTCGGCGGCCGCGGTACCTCGTAGTTGCGCAGCTCGAGCAGCAGCGTCTGGCGGCGCGCTGCGACAGCTCGTGGATGGTCTGCTGCTCTATGGTGCTGCCGTCGGTGGCCTGGCTGGCCGCCCGCTGCGAGCTGCTGGACGGCGAGAAGCCGCGCACTGCCGGACGGCGGACACGGCGTGAATCAGAGGCGGCACGCAATGCCGGGCCGCGAACACGGCGCGTGTCGATGATGATTTGGGCTTTCGGGGGCAACCGACTACCTTGGTCATACGGCGCCGTGTCAGAGGCGGCACAAGCTGCCTGGCAGCGGGCACGGCGCGAGTCAAAGGCGGCACATGCTGTCGGGCGTCGGACACCGGCGCGAGTCAGAGGCGGCACACGCTGCCGGGCGGCAGACACGTCAGAAGCGTGGACACGCTGCCGGGCGGCGGACACGGCGCGCATCAGAGGCGGCACACGCTGCAGAACGGCCGCAGGCAAACACTACCGACTGTGTCGGGCCCCTCCGGCTGGCAGCATAGGTATGAAGACTCGGTGGTGGTGGTAACTTTAAGGAAACATCAACCCGCATGTGCGTTGACCGAACTCCAAAACTTGCTACAGCCAGCAATAAGCATTATATATATATATATATATATATATATATATATATATATATATATATATATATAATGCTTATATATATATATATATATTATAATATATACCTATATATATATATATAGGTGTATATATATATAGGTGTATATATATATATATATATATATATATATATATATATATATATATATACCTATATACCCCTGGGAATTCAGGGGTACGGGGTGGCTCCCACCTTCGCCTTCCACGGAGCAGGAGATAAGAGCATCCTTGCCGTCCATCCGATAGTCGCCCCACGGTGAGGCCAGCCACGGATACGTTAAAGTTGTCCTGCAAAGCAAATTGTCATTCAGTCCCCGCTGTGGACAGTCGCGGAAGACACACGGAAAACTTCTGCTTACAACAGAATTCATGAAGATGAAAAAAGTCAGTTCCATTCAGCAGTCCAATAACACGAGGGGCGTCATGAGAGCTGGCAATGATCCTCCAGCCCCGTGAAATCAACACAATTTCCGCGAATGTTCATGACGGGTGACAAATTCTGCGGGTCCCCAGCCGCCGACCCCTGCGCAATCACTGCGGGTCCCCCCAGCGGCCGACCCCTCCGCCATTGCCGCATGTCCCCCAGCCGCTGACCCTCTGCCATCGCCGCTGGGCCCCAGCCGCCGACCCCTACGCCATCGCTCCGGGTCCCCAGCCGCTGACCTTGAAGACGACCCTCGCCGGTGCGGTCGCTGCGGGCGTCCACCTTGCCGTTGCTCCAGGCGGTGACCAGTTCGGGCACGCCGTCGTTGTCGATGTCGAAGCTCTGCAGCGCCACGGCCGAGTTCTTCGACTGGGGATGGCGGCCGACCGGCTGGTCAGGTCAGAGCCCGGCCGGGGTCGGACTTTGGACGGCCGTCAGTCGGGCCGGGTTCGGGCTTTGGACGGCCATCAGCTAGGCCGGGGTCGGGCTTTGGACGGCCGTCAGTCGGGCCGGGTTCGGGGTTTGGACGGCCACCAGCCGCACCCGCCACGGTCACCGAAACACCATACGGGCTCCGATGACAAGGTCTATTGCAATCAGACACGATAAATCCTAAAAAGCCCCGGGCTAGACCATGTACAGCGAGAATAAGAAATTGGCGACAACAGCTCACCGTCCCACCATTCTTCAGCTGGGGAGCACACACCTTAATGCGCCACCAGCGCGTGGTCTTGTCGTAGACGCCGACCGTGCCGTTGGCGAGAGCGTAGCCGAAGCGGGAGCCGGAGAGCGGCTGCAGCGCCGTCACCGCCTCCGTCTCCGTCACCTCGTGCGCGATGTCGTCGTCGTTGAAGATGCGGATGTCGAAGTCATCCGAGCCGACCAGCAGCTGTTTGGCGCAACGGCGGCTCAGTCACTGTCGCAGTCTATGATTCTACACTGACCGAAAGACCGCTGTCGGATATTCTTTATCAGCGGCAGTCCCGCTGTTGGAATAGCGGTGCGGTCTTCAGCCACGGTCCGGAGACACGACCGACCAGCCGCCGCTGAGGGAGCTCAGCCAGCTTTACCCCGCTGCAACGCAGCTATACCGCTACCTTCGCTAGCGTGTTAGACCTCCGCTACCATCAGGAAATAAGCTGATCATTTACTGCACCCGAGACGATGCAGTCTAGTGCACACATTAAAACCAGCATCACCAGTCTTTCACTGGCGACTGGAGCCCCACCCCGCCCCCTTTCCTGTTCAATCTGGAGGCCCTTCTCGCAAACAGAGGGGCGGGTGGAGTAGGCCGGTCTCACACAAGGCCACAGAGCCTGCTACTCCGCACCTGGTTGCGGCCGGTCGGGTTGAAAGTCCATGGAGAGCCAGCGAGCGGATTGTGGTCGCCGGTGACGTTCCAGTAGGGGTCGCTGCCATCCTGCCGTGAACCCCTGCAGGGGCGCAGTTGCCGCCGACCAGCACCAGCGGCTCGGGCCGGTCACCCAGCCGGCCGGCCACCAGCGCGTTGGCACCGTCCGGCAGCTGCCGACGGCGGACAACGCCCCGTCACCGAGCGTCACGCGATCTCCGCCAGAGCGGCACCGCCCTGGTCACTCTCTGACACCGTGACGTCCCCGCGGCGCCAATACGGTGTCAGAGCACGTCCGATCGGTGCAGGGTCGCATGTATAACGTCAGAATAGGTGGGAAGGGAGACGAGCGGCCTGGGGAGCCGCAAAGCGCGATCCGTGGGCACACGAAGCGCGGTTGGCCCAGGCGCCGCCGTAAACAGCAGAAGGCCGCGCTGGGCCCCGGCGTTGTTTTGCCTGAGACCCGACCACTTGACTGTGCCCGATGATGGGGTGATGAAGGGATGATGAGGGATGATGTGCACTGACGTGGCGTAATCACAAACGAATTCGCGACGTGGTCTGGACAACAGTAACCTTTAAGCAGGATGTACTACTTTGTTTTTGCCATATAAAACGGTAGCAGAACAGAAAGCAAGCGCCTGTGTCATTAAATGCGTGGTTGTATCCACAGCTGATTGGTGGATATCACGTGACACTTTCCCCACACCGCTGGAGACGTTGTCATGGCTACGGTAGCGTTTCAAACTCGGCCATGCAGGGCATGGCTCAAGGTTTCGTAATCGGCTGTACCCGACAAGATCAGCCAGCATGGGTCGGAGCAGGCACATCGACCATGTCTTTGGCTGTTTACGGCTAAAGCGATAACACTCGTTAAACATATGGCGGGCTGCACGTTTATCGCCAGCGACTCATGACCTGCAGCCTAGTACCCAGCATTCGTATTCACCCAGCCGTAATGACGTCACCACGATATGTCCGTAAGTCATCTCACGCGGAGGCGCGGGCGCCGCCGTGACCCTTACATCCTTGTAGAAGAGGGTCGGCGTTATTGGCCACGTCGTACACCTGCAGACTGGCGGGCGTGCCCACACACAGCAACGTCGCCGACCGGACTGCCATCTGTAGTCGACTTCTTCAGACGGCCGCAGCATAGCGACGTCACCTGGCGGCAGCGCAGAGGGCGCTAGTGTTCCCCAACAGCACTCCCTCGCAACATCCGGTGATGCGTTTCAGACTGAAGACCAACAAACACGAACTCACTCGGCAGAGGGGCAGCGCCACAGCCTGAGTGTCCGCCGCTCCTCGTGGCTTACCTGTTGGTTGATGTTGAGGATAGAGACGTCCGAGGTGGCCTTACTGCCCTGCAGTCGTCCACCGAGCTCGCCGCTCCTCTCGTGCGGGTTGTGCACGAGTAGCTGGTGGCGCAAGACCGAGCAGCCTTCGGTCAGTCCGTATTCACGCAGCACGAGCCGAGCGGCATGCAGCACTTCTCACGCGGCAGGCGCGATCTGACCACCATAATCACGTAATCCGCCATCCACTTCGCCAACTCGTCGCGCAGCCTACAAGGTGACATTCGGGCGAGCTCAGCTCGTCGTAAACCGCGTCGCAGCGGTTTATCACAACTACGTAGCCGCAGGAAGGGTTGAGCTTCCATTTGCTTCGCTATTCTAGTACAGGCTGTTGCAGACCTTAGCGGACACCCGTGACACCTGGACTGACCTTGTCTCCGCTGGTGCGGCCGTCAGACAGGGGTAGGTGCCGTCGTACACGCCAAGGGATACCAGGCCCGGCCACCAGCTTGTGGTTCAGCTTCAGCGTAAAGAGGGGCAACATGGTCTCCCGTCGGCGACGCGGGTACCGCCGCTCACCCTGGGAACCGGAACGGGGAATGGAGGGCGGCTTTCGGTGACGGCGGGGGCGCCAAGTTGGCGAGGGAGGGGGGGTCGGAGATACAGACGATTGTTGTGGTATCCCTGGCCACCAGACCGACGTAAAGGATTAGGACACAGCCCCAGTTCTTGAGGAAGCACTCTGTCGATAGAGTGCGCCATACCCCTGGCCTGCTGTGGAGGGTTTGGCGTCTGACGATGACGACTGAGGCTCAGGTCGAGCCCAAGGCATACCCGGGGACCAGCCACCGCTGTGTCCCATTTGATGGATGGATGCATAAGAGCCTCAGACTCGCTTAACTCGACCATTGGCAGTGACGTGTGATCCCACCGGAGATGGAGATCAACGCTAATGAGCCGCCGTGCCATCTCCTGTCCGCGTGCTGTCCGTCATGGCGGAGAGAACAACGTCTCGTGATCCTGATCGACGTTGTCTAGTTCGCGTCTCCTTCGTCACACAACATAAAAGATCAAGGTGACCTTATTGCGCAGAAGCGGTTCCGATAGGTCTGTGTATATAAATTCAAAACATTGTCAAAGCTCGGAGTAGGACTCAGCAGCTACACTGATTATGAATGCGACAAAAATATACTTCTGTGGCGATACACAATACATTATACGGTTACGGATATACGGATACACAAATACGGTTCGGCCATACGCAAACCATATACAAAATAAAAGGTAATCGTTTGTGCGAGTTTTATTGTAAAAAGGCACAAAGGCTACACAGTGAATTCAATGGCATCGACAATGTTCATATTGTATTTCCAGAAACAACAACAGAACAGAACAAAATAAAAAACATATCATAATAAAAAGCGCCAACTGACAGCTTACAACGGAAAACGACCATTCCTACTTGAGTCAAGTCTTCTCACATTACCGCTCCACGCCGAAGCCCGAGGACAGATAATGCGCGTGCGCACTCAACTCTGATTAATTTGAACAAGTTCAAGCGCCCAAAACAAATAAACAATTGGTCTAGTCCCAGTGGTTTCAAATGACCCGCCATTTCATCGCACACATTAGAATCCATGAAATTAGCAGCTTGGTTATATCTAAAGCTGCCCCGGCTCCATATTTATGGTGAAAATACACACGCACGAACACCAACACATAACGGGAACGTGCACCACAGTAATACGCATTCACAACATCGTCGTTCCGTCAGACGCCGAAGAAGCATGATCTAACGCCGCAAACAGAGGGCAGCCAAGCCTGCCAGGAGAGCAGGAGTTCACTAGCCTGGTGATCGCGAGAGTGAAGTCACCTCGCGGGGCCAGCCAGCTAACCTCGCCGGCCTGGTCAGCCCGTGAGTGAGGTCACCTGGCCAGGCTAGCCAGCTGACCTCGCCAGCCTGGCCAGCGCGACGTGTGAGGCCATCTGGCGGGCCAGGCCAGCTGACTCTCGCCAGTCGGGTCCAGTGCATGAGTGGGGTCATCTGGCAAGGCAAGTTAGCTGACCCAACTGGCGAGGTCAGTCATATCCTCCATTAATCACATGCCCCATATTGGTACATTAAAGAAGTAAAAATGTTGCCAACTATTCAAAGTCTGCAAAACCTTTATGATCTCTAGTATCCAATGGTTTCAAGAGCTACCTGTCCTCAGGCCCATGCTTTTTGTTGTTGTATATCCATATGCAGCATGTACCAGTCATCCAATGCATATTGGTCTCCTTGAGCTGGGGCACCACTGCATCTCAATTGGAGAAATGCTGATAGTTTTGACCAATGACTGATCTGATGTGTATGAGTCAGACAAAGCCTTACAACATTGTGCACAGGCTTTGCTGAACAGTTTTCACAGTATACAAACCTTGTATTGAGAGCCTTACAGTCCATATAAAACCACAGATATTTAATTACTTTTTAAAAGTCCTTAGGTCAGTCTTCCACTCATGCAGGAAACATGCAGCAGGAAAACATAGAACATCTTGTAAGCTACAACATGCAGGAGATGTACAATGCTGGGCCTGCCTCCATAATAGATGCCAGGAATTGGTGAAAAGGGTTACCACCAGTAAAAGACCATGTGGAAGAGTCTCATATTACATCTCTCATATTATGTCAACAAACATGAGACATCCTTAAAATGTTGTGGCACCAAAACTGTGTTGAATAAGAAAATCACCAGAACAACCAATCCACTTCCATGCTACCTAACTGATGACTGGATGCAATACCAAAAGTATACCTAGTCTGTCCCATGAAGCTTGCCTAGCTTCATGGGGCAGACTACACCATACCCTACACCCAGTCTGCCCCATACTTCACATACATAGCTTTAAACTTTTATACTTCTGTACTAAACCAATTTACGAATTCAGGGTAGTCTAATATTACCTAAATCAATTCCACCATTGCCCAGGCTCAGAGCATCAAGGTCACTTAAACACCCAGTGCAGTGGATAGATTGTTTCTCTGCAAACTTGGGTGTAGGTAAAAGGAGCACAATGTAAAGTGTGAAAACAACTCTGCAAAACAACATGACATGCTCGTAACTGACGTCCATCCTAACGGGCAAAATACACATCGTACCAAGACTCGGGGCAGGTGCTTCAAAACAACCAGCTTCAGTTTTCGGGGCTTTCCATCATGTTCAATTCAACCAGAATTTATAGGGCCACAATGTTATGAGCATGCCGGACATCCCCACCAATCTCCGAATCCCCGCACATTCCAATTGCCCTGATACGCATTCGATGTTCCGGAAGGCGTATATTGAAAAAGTGGCCGAGTTAAGCATGACGACCTAAAAAATACACCACGGGTATGGTGCAAACGGCCTAAACTACTGCCTGTCACACTACGGGCGGATTACGGACCACGCGCAGCCACGAAATCGCCAGCAGGTTTCGACCAGCCAGAGCTCGTAAAATCATCGCCGGCTCTCAAACTGATAAATGACCGAGCACAGGGGTGCAATTTCACATCATGAGTTTGGAGGAGGAGCTGAACAACAAAAAAATGGTTCAATCTACCTTGAAAAGTATATTCTGATGTTTGAAAAGTTAAAATCGGGTGGGAATTGTCTGGTTGTTGGAGCTCTCCGTCCATTTGGCCTCAATTTTGCCTTGCAAGACGACCATAGATCGGAGGTCAGGACCTTTACAAAAGCCTTAGTCTTGCGGTTGGTGAATGTTCCAATGCATGAAGATGTGAAATCTGCCGGTAAAATTTTGGTGATGCGTGTCCGAATTTCACCGTAGCGGGTAACCTTGATGTTTTATTGTTACCGGCTGGATCTCACTTCAGCTCGTCTATTATGACACAATAGTGATTGTGTGCGCGCAAAAGTCTGGACTAACCCTCGCTCGGCGGGCTCGGACACGGGTCAGCTGGTAACCCGTCAGGTCAGCTGATAGGTCACCTGACCCCGTGCAGGGGGACTTATGTCATATCACCTCCTCCATAAACTTTCGCTCTAACGTTGAGCGTTTCGTCCTCAAACAACGACAACCACGCGCCACAGAAAACAAATTGAAGCACAGTTACGGCTACCGCCCTCACACTATTGCTGGCATATGCCCGCGTCCCAGCGGACTTGCGGCTGCTGCGGGCCCGCGGCGTTGACGACCGCTGCAGCAGGGCTCAACCGCGGCGCCACAGTCCCCCGTCTGGCGGGCGGTCTCTGGGCCCGCGCCGGAAGCAACAGTCGGCCGCTGCCCCGCTACGCTTATCAGCATCGGACGTCGCGGTATCAGGAACCCCCCTTTTCGTACACTAAATGCGGAGACTTGGTATCTTCACTAATCAGGCCCGTCGCTGTCTCATGCCGATGATGACACCGACGGTGCGGCCCCAGCGGCCGGTCCCCAAGTTCTGAGCATCGACGCGGCGGCCGACGCGCGGTACTGAGAGTGAGCACCCTGAGGCGTTGTGACGGCAGGGGCGGAGCGAGGGGGGGGGGGGGGGTCACGGGGGCCATGCCTCTCCCTTGGGCTTCGAAGGGGTCCGTAGCCAGCCCAACAGACGCATTTTCTACGCAAAACGCAACAAGATTGGGCAACTTTGTGCTTCCATGAAACCAATGATAGTCACAAGCAAATGTGAAGGGCCCACGCGCAAGCAAAACTTTTCTTACTGATTGATAGTGCGGTGATTGGGAGGTTTTAAGGCTGATTACGCTTTCCAGAGGTCCCACGCTGTTTCCGGAGGGCCCATATGTCCACTTGTGGGTCAACTCGATCCAGCGAGGCTGCTGCAAGATCCAGCAAGCAAGGCTGATACAGCTTCACGCGCTACCCTTGATTTTCTTGCATTCGCTCGGAGAGCCCCCCGCGCTGTTGGTGGGCCCCTTCCTGCTAACGTGCCGGAGCACTCTCCGTCAATCAGGGTCTTCCATGGATTCTTTCCATTCGCCCGAAAGATCTGCACTCAAAAGACGGGGGTCTCTATATGTTAACCTGCCGGGGATTCTCGGTTGCTCAGGGGCCCTTCATGTTGTTCATTACGCTGTCCCAAGGGCGATCGTTCAGAGACCCACCACGTTGTTCTTGGTTCTTCTTGCTTGCTCTAAAACCCTATTCTTGTTGATGGAAGCCTCTTTGTAGGTTTGCCCGCGACAACCCCCCGATCGCTCATGTTCCATCTCTATTGGCCTTGGTGCCTGAGTCTTAGAGAGGAAGTCGGCTGTTCTGTAATGCTCTCTTATACCCTTTTCCACCTGTAGTGCGACAAGTAGTGGTTTTTAGATGGCTTGCACCACGTCTGTGGTGTATTTTTAGGCAGTCATGCTTAACTCAACTAGTGTTTCAATCCACGCTTCCGGAAGGGCGGACAACATAACGCGACAATTGTGGATAGCTATGTGCCGTACTTGGCTGTCATGTCATGCTTA